CTGTATCTTTCTGCTATTACTGTTTAACTCAGCTTTTTGCTAACTTTTACAGGTTTACTTCAGTGAAGCTTCAAACTTTAAAATAAATTTTAACGATTTTCAGATTTATAATGGAAGTCTATGGACGGAATTCTTCAACTGCTAGAGTGCGTGCTCTAGCTTTTGAGCTGTTCTGGTTTTTCCAAACAAATTTTTCTCGCTCCCTAATTTTTCACTTAACTGAAATACATTTTACATGAAAATGTAGGTATTTTTGTCAGGATTCAGGAAATGTAACGCTCATTTGTGTGGGATTTACGGTTTTCCTGCAGTTTGGCCCAAACTGCAAAGACGTCACACTTCCCCAATAGAAATCTAATGAGAGACTTTCCAAAAATCAAATCCGAAAATCCAAAACGACATATATTTTCGTATCGCTGCCATTTCTAAACTATTTCACGTACAAACATGAAACTTGGTATAGAACATCTTCGGACCCTTCTAGCACTCACATTGAAATAATTTTTTCGATATCATTTATGGTTTAGCTGTTTAGCTGACCTGTTCGGGCATAGGAAAATGTTGATTCTGAGAAAAATCCTCAAACTCAGAAAAATCCAATTTTTACATCGTCACTGTTGCCAAATGATGAATGCCTGACGCCATTCCTTAAGCATGGTGGAGGTAATGTGATGGTCTGGGGTTGCTTTAGTGCTGGTAAAGTGGGAGATTTGTACAGGGTAAAAGAGATTCTGAATAAGGAAGGCTATCACTCCATTTTACAACGCCATGCCATACCCAGTGGACAGCGCTTGATTGGAGCCAATTTCATCCTACAACAGGAAAATGAACCTAAATACACCTCCAAATTGTGCAAGAACTATTTAGAGCAGAAGCAGGCAGCTGGTATTCTATCGGTAAGGGAGTGGCCAGTGCAGTCACCAGATCTGAGCCCCATTGAGCTGTTGTGGGAGCAGCTTGACCGTATGGTACGCAAGAAGTGCCCATCCAACCACTCCTACTTGTGAGAGCTGCTTCTGGAAGCGTGGGGTGCAATTTCTCCAGATTACCTCAACAAATTAACAGCAAGAATGCCAAAGGTCTGCAATGCTGTAATTACTGCAAATGGAGGATTCTTTGACGAAAGCAAAGTTTGATGTAAAAAGAAAAATCTTATTTCAAATACAAATCATTATTTCTAAACTTGTCAATGTCTTGACTCTATTTTCTATTCACTTCACAACGTATGGCGGTGAATAAGTGGGACTTTTCTGGAAAACACTAAATTGTTTGGGTGACCCCAAACTTTTGAACGGTAGTGTATATATATATAAAATTAATAAGTATAAGAGTTTAAGTATCTGGGGATGAAGATGGTCACATGTCTGTCCTTCAAAACACATTCTGACACAATTTATAATAAAGCTAACCAGCTCCTTCATCTTTTTAGGAACCTGTGGTCTTTTAAAGTTTAATCAAGTACTGATCAAATGTAGAATCAATTCTCACCTTCAACACGACAAACAACTTATCAGTAGTAAACAGAAAAAAGAACCCTCAGGTACCAAATAAAAAAGCTAGTTAGCAAAATACCTGATGGTCCACAAATTTCATCTGTATGAGCGCCCTCTGATTGCAGAGGTCTGATCACAGAGGAATCTTTTCATTACAAGTACAAAGTATTACTGGCCAAGAGAGCATTATAGGAAACCAAATTGAAATATAGCACTAAACAGTATAAGGATTTCATTAAGCAGAAATATATAGATATTTCAAATACATTTTAAGGTGTGTTTTTTCTTTTTTCATTGGGTTTTTTTCTCTTTTGAACGTCTTTTACAGAATATATTAAAGGGAAAGTGGAGTACTGTCAAAGTCCTTTATGTCAGATAATTAAAGTTTCTATTCTGCAGGGTATATACATTTTTAAGTTTAACAATTTGCCGCGATTTATTTCTGTCTTTTTTATTTAGTGTCTGGCAGCTTGTCTTCCTTTTTTAACAAACCATTGTGAATTTTTCATTTTATTTTGACCATTCCTCATAAATCCGCTAGGGGGCGCCAGACAGACCCATCCAAGATGGCTGCCGCGTTGCTACGTCAGCTCCAATAGGCAGCACAGGAGCGTCTACGTATATCTTGTCCACGGTCTGACCCCGCCTAGAGTCCATGTATGTGCGGCTGCGTATGTCGCCTTATTTCCCTCTCTAGTTTACTGCGTTTCCCGGCTCTGCTCACCTCCAGACCAGGCAGCAGAATGGCAGCGGCGGCCCCCAACCCGGAGGACTCCGCAAGGAGCGGCAGCAGCGGCGGCGGCACCAGCACCCCTAGCTCGCTAGCCGGAGAGGGCGACGCGGAAGAGGCCGAGGACTTCACCTCTTCCTCCCACTGCTCAGAGCTCTCCCGGCGGCAGAACGAACAGAGGAAGCTGGGCTTGTTTTGCGACGTGACGCTGGCCTTCAGCAGCGGGGCGGCTACAGGGAGCGTCCAGAGCTGCGAGTTTTCGGCCCACAGGTCCGTGCTGGCTGCCGCCACCGACTATTTTACCCCGCTGCTGGGAGGGCAGTTCTCTGAGTCCCTGTCCGGACGGGTGGAGATGAAGGAATGGAGCTCGGAGCTGGGGCCGGACCCGGAGACAGTGGAGAGTGTCATCCAGTACATGTACACTGGAGAAATCCGCGTCAGCACCTGCAATGTGCATGAAGTGCTGGAGCTGGCAGACAGGTAGAATTACACAGTACCTGTAAAGGTCCCTATATCCCTTAAACATCCTCCCTTTTTTTCATCATCACAGACTTTTTCATTCAGCATGTATGTAATGCACATGGAAAGAAAGTGACACATGGTTTTCATTGCTCCCTTAGACCAACAGAATCAAAGCTATATTGACCCAACCTTTATATTTACACCAGCTGAGTGCATCAGGAGGACTTATTTGCTTCTTTTTTCAATGCACTCAAATTTTATTCACCAGACTTCTAGTCTTTTCTCAATTATCTACATTTAGTCCTGGACTTTGACTTGACCATGCCAGCCAATATGGTTTCAGCTAATCTTTTCCTTTATAGCCCACTGAATTATCCTTATTCATGAACATGGATGGGACAGTCTTGCAACCTGTCCAGGCTGTAACTCTCTATCTATATTAAGGAATAGAATCTCTCAGAATGATGCTGCCACCACTGTGCCTCATAGGGATAATGTGTTCATGTGCTATGTAGTGTTTTGCATGAAGGGAAACGTGTTGTATTATGTTTTGTCTAACCAGAACACCTTCTACCATATAATGGTCTACTTATGGCTAACAGTAAACAGAAAAATGCTTGCCCTTTTCCTTAAAAATCAGATTAGCAGAATATGAACTTGACAGATTATTCCACCATATATTTGGATCTCTGCAGCTGCTCCAGAGTTATCATGCATTTCTTGGCTGCTTTCTGATTTAAACTCCCTTTGCCCAGCCTGTCGGTTTAGGTAGATGCCCATGGCTTAGTGGATTTGTGGCACCAACCTACCCGAATCATTTACAAATTGCAAAATGTCCAGTAAACAGTTTCAACGTCACATTTTTTTTTTTTACCAAACGCTGCTTTAAACGTCTCTCCATCTTAATCCCTTGACTGTCTGCTGTTTTTCTCTGTCTTTGTGTTATTTGTTTTTTTGTTTATCAAGTCTTTTTACAGGGTCATTAAAACTAATTAAAAGTCATCAAATTATGATTATTTTTAATCAAGGCCTCAATTGGCATTAAAATTTGTTAAATGTGATTATAGTGGTATTAAAAAAAGAAGAGAGAAAAAAGACGTTTATGAAAACATAAATACATCTGGGTGTTTGCGCAGATGTGCTTCCATTGATCGTAAAGTCGTATGTTTTGAAAAGAAGCTTGAGGTGGAGAAAAGGGTATAGAATGGGAAAATGCTCATTTTAACAAAATCGGTTTTATTTAGGAATATCAGAAAATTAGGGTCTGAATGCAAACTCACCGCACGCTTTACAGATGTATATGTGATTAGACAACAAATTTGTACATTTTCATTTTAAAAATAATGTGATACCTTCTATTGTTGGGATTTTGCATGCAATCCTGAAATGGGGAGAAAAATGAAACAGGATCCTTTTTCTAACCGCATGCTTGCTTTTTTTTAGTCAGAGCAATATTTTGAATCCCATTTGGGTCATTTTCTTGAAAGTCCTCTCCTCTGATGATATTCATTGCGTGTTTTCTCTCTTGCTTTCCTTGAAGGTTCTTGCTGATACAGCTCAAAGATTTCTGTGGCGAGTTCCTTAAGAAGAAGCTGAGCCTGACTAACTGTGTGGCCGTGCACAGTCTAGCCCACATGTACACCCTGGACCAGCTGGCTTTGCGGGCTGCAGACATGATTCGACGCAATTTCCACAAGGTTATCCAGGACGAGGAGTTCTACACGCTCCCCTTTCACCTCGTCCGTGACTGGCTGTCGGATGCAGAGATCACCGTGGATTCAGAGGAGGTGCTGTTTGAGGCTGTGGTGAAGTGGGTGCAGAAGAACCCAGAAGAGCGAAGTCGCTACTTTGAGGAGCTGTTTCGTCTTCTCAGACTCCCTCAGATAAAGCCCACCTACCTGGCCAGGGTGGTGAAAAACGAACGACTTGTGGCTTCAAACGAAGCCTGCCTGCGGCTGGTGTCAGAGGCTGTAGAGGGCCACGCTATTCGCTTTGAAAACCTGAAGTCGGCAGATATGGAGTTGTGGTCTTCACACATGGCCTCCTTTCAGCCTCGGTTCGGCCAAAACATGGACGTCATCATGGTGGTGGGTGGGGTGTCGGAGGGTGGGGATTATCTGAGTGAGTGTGTGGGCTACTTCATCTATGAGGATCGTTGGGTCAACCTCCCCCACATCCACAACCACCTGGACGGCCACGCCATCGCCACCACGGAGTCCCATGTCTACGTAGCCGGGTCAATGGAGCCGGGCTTTGCAAAGACGGTGGAACGCTACAATCCCAATCGCAACACCTGGGAGCAGGTCAGCAACTTGACCACACGCAAGCACTCTTTTGGCTTAACGTGCATCAAAGATATCCTGTACAGCATCGGCGGCCATGGCAACTTCAGTCCAGGTTTCAAGGATGTTAGTGTGTACGAGCCTGAGCAGGACAAGTGGCACAATCTGGAATCGGCACCTAAGATCCTTCGAGATGTGAAAGCCGTGAGCGTGGAGGACCGCTACGTTTATGTGACAGCACGCACACCCGTGGATACCGATAATGATGATGGACTGAAGACGGTGACCACTCGCTATGACACAGAAAGCCGCCAATGGCAGGATGTCGACTCCTTGCCACTTATTGACAACTATTGCATCTTCCAGATGGCTGTAGCTTCGACCAACTTCTACCATACAGCTTCCTGCTGCCCTAAGAGTTACACAGTGCGGGATGAGGTCGCCAGGCAGAAGATCAGTGCTCGCATCTCTGATGAGATCCTGGAGAGCCTGCCGCCAGAGGTGACTAGCATAGAGGGCGCGGCCATATGCCACTTCGATGAGGACGTCTTCATCATCGGAGGCTGGAAGAACAGCGACGACGTCGACAAGCAGTATCGCAAGGAGGCCTACCGTTACTGCGCAGAGAGGAAACGGTGGATGTTGCTGCCGCCCATGCCCCAGCCCCGCTGTCGGGCGACGGCCTGCCACGTCCGCATCCCGTACCGCTTTCTGTACGGCTGCCAGCGGTACCCCATGCCCCAGAACCTGGCTCGCCAGCGAGATCGCATGCAGCAGATGCAGCAGCTCCACAGGCGTACGCTCACCCTACGCCGACAGCTCCAGTCGCAGATAGAGTGCTGAACCAGCGGGCAGCGTCCGGAAATCCACACCATCCATGCGTAACGCACTGCAGTGAATGTCGTGTTGCTGTCGTTCTGGTTTTCACTCCTCATAGCCGCGTGTCATCAGCTCTCATGTTATCTTGTGTTTATCGCTGACTTAAAGCCAGGCAATGTGTATGCAGGTACATTCTCACTGGGACGAATCCGCATAGGCGCTATGTTATGGATGTACACAGGTTTAGGAGAGTGTTTCCAGCAGCCAAATAACTAAGTATTCTTTAGTAATTAATGTTAATAATAATGCTGTTTATCCGTCTGTATATTATAAAGCTGTATATGTATAAATTGATATTTGACATTCCTTTCCTGTATATGGCTTTACTGGTAAGACTATGTAACATGAAGCATTCCTAGTTTCTTAAAGTCCCATCATTCCTTCCTTCCTAACACTGTGACAGTTCCCTCGTAAAAGTCCAATTTACTGAAAAGAGACTGCTTCTTACTTTAAACCTTCAACATCGACTGTGAACATAACATTTAGGCTTTTCGTTGCAAAACTTTTAGGCTAGTATTCCTTTTTTTATCTTGACAAATGCCGTGTGTTTTGGTCATTTCTGTACACGTAATGCTTTAACAGTTTTTTTTTCAAATATGATGTGCAGGCTCTAGTAACATGCAAGTTGCAACATTTATGTATATGAAAAAAAAATAGTTTTATGCTTCTGCATTAAGCACCAAAATCAGTGGCAGTGGCTCAATCATTCCTTTCTTTTGCACTTTTGAAATCTATCAACTTTATCCTGAAGCTTCAGGAAGAAATGTAAAGAAACAAATGTTTATACGTATGAATGCAAGGCTGGGTGTGAATTGGGTCAGTATGTGGTTTGGTAATTGTTTTTGCAAAAAATGGCTAAGGGTTCTCCTCATATAGCACTTTTGTTTTACATCTTATTGTTTGTAGAGTCTTAAAGAATGCATAAAAGCTGTTACTGCATTTTGATTTTTACATTTCGACAGGTGTGTCATATCGGACAAGGTGATTGTATTTTCAAAATACCTTTTTTTTCTGTTTTTTTTTTTACTTTATATATATATATACCGTATACGCCACATTCCAGCAAGTAAATTTTTGAACTTTTAAAAAAAATATGAATTTGAAAAGAATTGTTTCAACCATTTAATATCCTATGAACTCATTCCTTATACTTAATTTTGACTTAGATGGTCATATGAGGTGTATATTAATATACTGTCTCCTGTTGCCCACCAAAGAGACTTAGAGGTGTAATGAAAGGGAATTAAACATCAAGACAAAGAAGGGATTGCTATGATTTTTTTTTTCTTTTGTGACTGACATTCAGAGGCTGTGCAGCATTAAGGTTTTAGAGCGCAGAAATGATATTCATTTCCTCTTTATGACCGATATAAATAGCACTGCAGATCTTAACTGAAATAAGCTATGTATTTGCTTTGCACGTGATAGTCTTAAAATCGTGTCCTTATATTTTGATGTAAGAGTTACTAATGGCATCACTTGCAATTAAAGCTGTTTTTGTAAGATAAATATGTGTTTTGGTATTTTTCCATTAATCAATACCTGCTAGTTTTGAACTTCAGCATTTATTTGCTTTGCAAACACTAATGTTTGGTGGAAGTAGTAGATCACTGATTGAAAAAATAAAAAAAGGAACCTGGTCTTGAAATAATCAGAAAATACATTACTTTAGGGTTAGATTAGGGGTTTCCAAATTGGGAGTTAAAACCTACCTTTGGGAAGTTGCATGATTGTTTTTTAATCTAGAGATACAACTGCTAAATTGTATTGTTGCACAAAATTAAATGAATACACTTGGATGTCACATTAAAAAAAAAAAAGTGTGCCACTGATTTATGCAATGCAAAATTGAGTTACTGTGCTATTTAAAAATGTTTTTTTTTGTAATTTACATTCAAAAATTCATAAATAAGATGTATTTTAAATAGATACGGTTATTTCAGTCTCTCTACGTAATAAAATGAAGTGATTGTATAATTTGAAGTCTTTGATGAAGCACTAACCAGAAGTACATGAGTAAAACTATTGTTACTGATAGTCAAATATTACTTTACAAGTAAAAGTATTCAAAAATACAAATTAAATATTCTAATATCAGTACATTTCTGTATTTTTTCAGAGTAATGTTAAAGAACCTGTAACTTTCAGAAAACACTTAACGTACTGATGCGTAGAACCACATCCACTACAAATTCTACACCACCTGTAAAGAACTCCAGCATAAATGCCACAAAAATAGATAGCTGTTTTGATGATTTTTAGTTTAGAAACAGCAAAAAACAAAACAGGATTATCTTGATTCTCACACTTTCACTATGGAATAGACGTTTGAGGTTGAATGGTATCACCACAATGAAACCACAAAAATGAATTGAGAACTCATCCTACTGAACAACTTGGCCACATGGCAACAACTAACACCTTAATAAAACGAATAAACTACAAATAATATCTGCCCTGATTTTCTGTAAATTTGTGGAATGTCAAGCAGATTTCTAAAACAGTGGTGTCCAAATTCCATCCTATAGGCTGCTATCGTGCATGTCGAAATTGCACTTCAACAAAGAAAAACAGCAACAGCGAATTACAAAGCTAAGCTGAGCCTAAATGAACACGTAACTATCAGCTTCTTCCAAATGTAGTGGAGTAGAAAATGCAATAAGTAGATGTGCAATCGAATGACAATAATTTAAAGTCAATCTGAAGTCAATATATATCAATAAATCAGATGAAAGAAGCTTTCCTATAAATGTTTTTCTTACCACAGATTGTTATGTATTTCAAACATATATTTATGTTTTTATGTTTTATATCCCCTAAAAAAAAAAAATAGAATTCAGCTTCTTTGTGAACTTATAAAAAAAAAGAAAGAAAAACAGGTTATGCTGCTCACTTCCAAGTTGTAATTCTTGCTCTACAAGAAAGGGAAAGCCACATCAAACCACTGAAAAAACAAAACAAAAAAAAAACTTCCAGTTGACAGTGAGCTTAATACTGTTTATGCATGAGTGGAAGGGAAAATGCAGCAAAAGGTGGACGGTATGATCCAAACATTTAGAATATTGTAAAATAAAGTCCAATTAAACATTAATTTTGGTGAGATTCCCATGGCATTAACTCAGTTTTTGAAGCCATCACACAGTTATCAAGAACATGATGTACAGCTGTTACTTCATGGGTTTAGCCTCTACTGAACCAGAGACATCAGAAGCTACTTAACATAGGAATGAAAATAAAATAAAAAAAATTTAATTTCAGGTTAAAAAACACAACAAAAGAGTAAAGAATCATAGAATAAAAGGTGCTTAAGATCAAGTTGGAACTTTTGACTGTTGGTGGTGATAGGAGGAGATATGTCATCTGGAGGTGTTGGTTTGTTTGTTTCATGTCTGAATTCAGTATAGACATCTTTAAAGACATTTTAAAAGCTATGTGCTTCCATGTGGTCAAAGGTTTCGAGAAGACATGTCATGTTCTGCTTTTTTTTTTTTAAATTTTATGTCCAATTCAATCTTTTTTAGCAGTTTTTTTCCTTTGCTGTAAGCCATTAGAATTATATATAGGCGGTTGTTTAATTTTTCTATAAAATTATATATATATATTTTTTATTTTTTATTTTATTTTATTTATTTATTTATTTTTTTGGTCTAAATTCCTTAAAATAACTTTTCGGTGATATCCTAATACGCACTAGTATGTCAGTACTATGCTTGTATTACCAGTAGGAACCTGAGACAGATGGTTTTTGTTTAAGGGGGGCGGTTGCACCCGGAGCGTTACGTAACAATGATGGTGCCTTCAGGTTTAACCTACCGGCTCGATTTTCTTTTTTTTTCTCAATAGAAATGCTGCCAAGATTCATTATGGTGTATGGTTGCATTAGATATATCCTAAACAGTGTTAAAAAAAACTAATAAACACGTGACTTAATAATGATCTAAACGCGTGTTTAACTAAACTTTGGTATTTGTAAACGCACACTATAAAAAAATGCAGACACTCACAAGGGATTTGAAAGCAGCACTGTCCTTTTAGCTGGTTCTCCTCCTCAGCAGACTCTGCCGAAAAACTAGCAGCGTACAATTTACAATAAAAACAATGGTAATAATACTCTTAAAGCGTTCAGAATTATTATGAAATATGTATATCTTAACTTCATATTTGTGAATAGTTTAATAGTTTACTGATTTAAAGTTTACACCGAGCTACCTCTATACTCTAGCTAAAGAAAAAATTGTAAGTCAGATAAAAAAGAAAAAATGGCTTAAAACAAGTCCAGGGCTGAAATTTAAAGACAGGATAGTGACGGAAGTGAAAGAGTCAGATGTCTGTCAGTCACATTTGTGTTTGTTTTAGTGACAAAGCAACCGTTTTGTTGGTGTGTAATGATATCTTTCATTTTATTTCCACGCACTGTTTCATCTGAACAGATACCAGAGCTTTCCAGTGGATCCGTGTTGATGAAGGATCCTCAGAGGGTTCAAGAGATCCTGCAGTCCATGTCAAAGGCTGGCATCAACACCCTGCAGGTATCTTCACTGAAATGTAATAAAATGAAGGAAAGTCTGCAAGAAAACCGCTTCTGACTCATCTTCATTACCTTGTTGAATTCAGGTGATCTCAGATTTTGACATGACTCTCACGAGATTCTCCTACAACGGGAAGCGATGTCCTACATGTCACAGTAAGTACATACTCACCTATGTCTCTTTAAACGATGCATGGCATTTATTAAACAACTGATAATAAATATAAGCTTAAAGTTGAGAATAAGCCTCCACCTCCTGAGGAGGCTGAGGTCCTTTGGAGTGAGCAGGTCCCTGCTTAAAAACTTCTATGACTCTGTAGTGGCCTCTGCCCTCCTCTATGCTGTTGTCTGCTGGGCCCCTGGCAGCACAGAGCGGGACAGAAACAGACTGAACATGCAGGTGAGGAGGGCCACTTCTGTCCTGGGCTGCACTCTGGACTCAGTGAAGGAAGGGACTGAGAGGAGAGTGTTGTCCAAGCTAACACCATCATGCACGACCCCTCTGACCCTCTGCACCAGTCTGTAGAGGAGCTGAGCAGCTCCTTTAGTGAAAGACTTAAGGGCAGATTATACTTCTGCATCCGCACACATCAAATGTCGCTTGGGTCTGGTCGGAATCCAGTTTTGCCGCTTTGCTTCTGCACCGTCGGTCTGGATATCTAGGAAAGCACAGCAGTTTCCCACCAAAGCGCAAGGGGGAGCGTATTCAAGAACTCATGCGAACTTTGGCGGCGCTGGCGGGAGTGTTTAAAACAACAATGGCGCATCTGCAAGATGTCACAGAGATGGATCTAGAGTTGCTAGACATCAGAGAGGAACAGGCTCTGTTAATGGAGTTGGTAAAAAGACAAAGGAGGACGTGTAGGTTGTAAATTGTAAATTGTTCCTCAGTTTTTAAAGGGGAACTTCGTTTTTTTTTTTACATTGAGCCCTTGATTTTACGTTATTACATCATGTTCTACTCGCCAATATAAGTTTTTTGTCATTTGGAGCCGTTCTGAAGATGTTCGGTTAGGTTATATCCAAGTAGCGCTTTGTTTTTAAAAGATATAAATATAAAAAATATAACCGTGGATGTCTGGGGGACAGTGATTGGCCTACATGTTATGAATGCTGGCGTACCATAAAGAATAAATAATGAACAGTTTAGTTTGTGCCTTCAACTTGTTGCCCATAGGAAGACGTTACTTGGATATAACCTAACCGAATATCTTCAAAACGGCTCCAAATTACACAAAACTTATATGGGTGAGTAGAACATGATGTAATTACGTAAAATCAAGGGCCCAATTACACCTCGGTGTAATCTGGGTGTTTCTGCAGCAGACAGGACAGGGACACAGACTTGTAGTCTGATGGGACAGGATAGATGGGAATCTCTACCCCTGAGCAGCGAACCACCTGGTTAACAGATTTTGGATCTTTGGGAAAATTCCTCTTGAAGGTTGTTTTAATTCTGTTATCCATTTGGCAAATTTCTGAGCGAGTTGCATCCCTGCATGAGGCAACACCTTTCTAGGCCTTGCACATCTTAAGAAGACCTTACTGGAGAAGCTTTCTGTAAAGCAAGAGACAACTGCTCTTATGCAAACGACAAACAAGCAAAACATAATCTGCAACAATTAGAATAAATAAATAATAATTTTTATTAACTGATTATATTTGCTTTTTATGTGTTTTTTTTGACAGATATTCTTGACAACAGCAAAGCCATCTCCGACGAGTGCCGCCAAGAGGTAGGAATGATTTTTCTTTTTTTTTTTTTTTATCATAAACTCTATTTGCAGTAATTGATTTAAAATTGGCACAGAAAAAAAATCCTGTTTAGCTTATTATGCCTCTGTTATAACAATGTTCTTATTCGCTGGTATTTGGAGCTGGTTTAAACTTTAAAGCTGGATTATGATATCTGAAATAGTTTAATATCACATATTCCTTTCATTCGTTTCCACAATATTTGATCCTCTGATGGATTTCCTGGTTAGTTCTCAGACTGCTGTTCTGTCTTCCACAGCTGGATCATCTTCTAAAGACTTATTATCCCATAGAGATTGACACTTCCAAGCCAGTTTCAGAGAAGCTGCCTTTAATGGTGGAGTGGTAAGTATTTATCACTCCTAGTGAACTGTTTCCTGCATTTTGTGAGGTTTCGTTTAAAGAGGTTTGTTCTTCTAATAGGTGGACCAAAGCTCATGACCTCCTTGTGGAGCAGAGAATCAAAAAAGACGAGCTGGCCGAGGCAGTGCGGGAGTCTGATGCAATGCTGAGGTAAGAATGTTTCAATACTAAATTTTTTTGTAAAGTTTTTTTAAAGGGAAAGTTCAGTAAAAAGTGGCGATGCTAAAACAGGGAGGGTTACGAGCTCTTCTTCGACCGCCTGCACGAGCACGGAATTCCTCTGCTCATCTTCTCTGCGGGAATCGGAGACATTCTGGAAGAGGTGATTCGGCAAGCTAACGTCTTCCACTCAAATGTCAAAGTCATCTCCAACTACATGGACTTTGATGAATCTGTGAGTTGTACCCCACAAAAGAGATGAATTTTACTCCCATAACTGGGATTTCTGTGATATTGTGACTCGTTGTGTTTGATCAGGGGAGGCTGAAGGCTTTCAAGGGAGAGTTGATTCACATCTACAATAAAAGGGAAGGTGCGCTGCTCAACACAGGCCATTTTGAAGAGCTACGGTCAAGACCCAATGTCTTGCTGATGGGGGACTCCCTGGGGGACCTGAACATGGCTGATGGTGTTCAGGATATGAAATACATCCTCAAGATTGGATACCTCAATGACAAGGTAGGCAAGAAGTCTGAATTTTCATATCTTGATTTATTTTTTCAAGCAGTACTCAGTTGCTTTTTCTTTGTTTTCAGGTTGAGGAGAGGAAACAGTCCTATCTGGACTCCTATGACATAGTGTTGGTGAATGATGAATCTTTGGAAGTTCCTAATGCTGTCCTCCACTACCTCACAAGTAACAAGTGAACCGTTCATTATCCCGAGCTTTGAAGATGTTACTGGGATTTCTTTTTTAAAACAAGCTATTAACGGTCCAGTGCCTCGCAAAAGTATTCGTAACCCTTTGAACCACATAATGCTTTTTATCTGAATTTAATACCAAACTTAGACACAAATGATTAAATTGATTAAACCGGTATAGTACAATAAATGTTTTTTTATTTGCAAATCAATACTTAATTAAACTTCCTTATCACTGCGGTAAAGTAAGTCTTTCGATGTTTAATGCTCCCATCTATGCATACTTTGAAACAGGAATTTGAACCACTTCTGTAACAGTCTTATATTAACATTAACTTTCAAATCTTACAACAGCATCTGAGCTGGAACCAGGTTCAACTGGGCCATTTTGACCTCTGCATGTGACTTAATGTAAGCCGATCCATTCTAGCTCTGATTTTATGTCTACTCTCCAGTTCCCTGCAGCCTATAATTCATTTTTTTTCTGGGACCTTCCTGCAGTTTCCCTTTACCCACAACAGCACCTCCTCAGGATAATGCTGCCATCGTAATGCTTCTTCATGAGGATGATGTGTTAAGGTTAAGTTAGATTTCCCATCATGTTGTTTTCATTGTTTTTCACTTTTGGTCTCATTCGACTAAAGAATCTTGCTCCGCATATTTGCTTTCTGCCACTGATTACATGGATTCTTATCGCTTTTTTAGCCTCTATTCCATAAAGAGAAACAAAAGGGATAAAAACACATTTTGCAAGGCACTGCATATGATTGTATTTTACTGTCCAAAATAACTAAGTTTTACTGAGTGAGTCTGTGTTGGAAGCAAATGGGTTTCCACTTGTTTCCAGTCCTCATTATTGTCACATCTCCATCAAACCTATTGTCTACAGTGACCTCTTTGGATCTTGTTGCAGCCTAATACGTGTTTTTGTGGATTTATTGGTGTTTTTTTTTTCCTGAGACTTCTTTAAACATTTCTAGTTTTGATACAGGATTAAATATTTAAAAAATAAAACGCACAATATAAAAAGGCAGCACCTTATTTTGACAAGATTTCTAACTATTTTATGCACAGTGAAGCTCCTCCAAAAATTTAAATCGGGAATCAATGATGTTTCAGCTATTTCCTCTGTGAGTTTGTTTAAATAAAGAAAAATATTATTTTGTACGGTTCTGTTCCAGCTGTATCATCGGATTGCTAATCATTGTAAAAATGTTTAAATGTTGAGTAAGATGCAGCAGAAGTTTCTAGAGGGTTCTCTGTCATTATCTAAGCTTTGTAAGCATCTTTTCTCTTTGAACCATCAAGATTTGTTTTGTAACTTTCCTGATATTAAACATGGTTTCATCTTAATAAACCCACATCTGTCAGACCGTCTGAAAAGATTTAATCACATTTTGTTATAAAAGTTTATTTTTTTCATACACAAAATGGATCCACCAAAATCACAATAGATCAGTACAACTTAACATAACATTAAAAGTAAAATCAGACGCATTAACTTTACATGAATAGATGTAAAACTTTAAGATGGGGGGGTCTGTTTCCAAAGCTTTGCGAAGTTCCATCTTAGAATTAATCATAAAAAAATTCACGCAAAAAAAAAAAAAAAACACATTATCCATTTGCTTGCATTTGCATAAGAAAAAAAAAAACCTTGATGGAAAAAAAAGATGATTTCAATATGAGCAGCAAAATGTCCTTTTTAATTTTTGGGAAGGTTCTTGCTCAATATTTTTGAGAGGACATCATCATCACAGTTTATGTCTCCTCTGCAGTTCATAGCTCATCTCGTCTCAGTTTTTCAGACTCATCCTTAATTTTGAGCTCATCTTCTACAATTTTCCCATCCTTATTCTGGTCCTGGTTATAAAACATGTCTTTTATAACAGTTTCGATGTCGACGCCCGGCCGAAGTCGACCTTTGCCCTCTTTGACTTGCAGTTTGATGAACTCCGAAAACTGCAGGTGGGGAAGAGGAGCATCGTAATTTTTATTAAGAGATTCCTTCAAACACTTGACTACTAGTTGTACCAACCGACCAAGCTTTACTGCTTACCTCCTCTAGAGGGACCTCTTTGTCTCCATTGAGGTCCAGAGCGTTGAACAGGGGATCAGGCGTGTCGCCAAGCCAGACAAACATGAAGCCTTCTGGTACACCTTTCTGCAGCTGCACTAGCTCCAGTTCAAAAAGCAGGACTGCACTTCCAGGAACTCCAACAGCTAAAAACATCCAATCAGGGGAGATGAAACAGGAGTCATAACCCTGAAACCTTTTAAGACGATCATTTAACAGCTGTTAACTTCAATCTTTATGTGGATGTAAACTGACTTTATTTAAAGTACAATAGAAAAAAAAAAAAGAGTAACTGAAGTCCCTTTACTCTGATACTCATTAATTAAATCCAACAGATTAGAAGATTAGGAAGTGGAGTATGCCTGTTTGTGGTTTAATCTAGGGAAATAAATCCAGTTTATCTGTGAAGGCTTTGTGTTTTAGAGAACGTTAGTGAACAACGTCTCAGCCTATTACACAGAAACATGTAAAAACATTCAAAAAGTTTAAATATTTTCGCAAGACACTATAAAACAAAAGAATAATAAAAAAAAAAGATCTTACCTCCATCTTCACCATGACCCCAGTGTGGAGGGATCACCACTTCTCTCCTCTCACCCACACACATGCCCTTTAATCCTTCCTCCAGACCCATGATCACTTTCCCAGCTCCCAGAGTTGTAACTGAAGGTGATTCATACTGGTCCCTGAAAACGGCCACAAATAGACCACTTTAGCATTTAAAAGAACATGTTTAGGATACAGATCAGAAAAAAAAACACCTAATACCAAAATAAAAACCCAAAGCCATGCAGCCATATGTGCATTCATATATATAAATGGTTTCGTCTACTCCAAAACCCTGTGAAATCTGTCAGACAAGTAGCCAGCAATGATTACATGCACGAGGGTGCAGTGTTGCAGAGTGAACAGCAGGGGTCGCTCACGATGAGTATAGAAGTGTGCCATCCATGAGGGAGCAGTTGTAGCGATAATGAATCAAGTCATTGGTTTCGCTGGTCATATTACATTCCTCAGGCTTATGGGTGACTCTGATCTCCACTGAATCTTTGGGGTTGTGAAAGTCAATCACGTGGACGTCAAAGATCAGCACAGCAGAGCCAGGAATGAAGTTTTCTACAACCAAAGAGTAAAAAAAAAAAAAATAATTAAGCAGAATTAGTTTGTATTCCTCCTCAGTTTAGTTTAAAAACTCTTAAATGTGAGCGTCGAACTCACCAGCTCCTTTTTCGCCATATGCCATGTGAGGAGGGATTGTGATTCTCCTTTTCTCACCAATGCACAGACCCTGCAGAGCTTTGTCCATGCCGTGGATCACATATCCCATCCCGATGTATGTGTTGTAGGTGCTGTTTCGCTGGTAGCTGTTAGAGGAAGTGGGAAAAATGAGAGATCAAACAGAAGATGCTTCATATGCTTTCTGGAAGCTACTGTTGCTAAGGTGTGAAAATATATAGAGATATTCACAGGAAATTTCACAGGAAATTCAAAAAGTACTGCAAACACAAAAGTGGGACAAGCATACAATACATATGCCAAGGATAAACAGTGTCAAGGAGATAGTGATGTAGATTGCCAACAAACAAAAAAACCTACTGCTAAAACATGAAAAGGGAAAATGCTCCCCCTAGTAAAAACAACTGCAAGTTAAGAAAAGTCACAAACTGCATAATGCTGCATAATAAAAGTGCTCCAGACCACTAGGGGGAGACAATCAACAATTCATTTCGGAGAAGATCCTTAGAAAAATGCATAGACGGGATTTTTGCAACATCTGCTCAAAAGAAATTAATTTCCCGTAATGTCTATGGTCTGGAAACATATGTTATGATGATCATCTCCCCTTTTGTGGTCTGCAGTACCTCCGCCATGCATAGATTCCATAACTTTAGCCTCTTTCCGACTGAAATTAGCGGGTTAACATGTTTTTCAAACATGGGTCAACCCGCTAACAATCTGCATTTGGCTCCCTTCCCAATGGCAAAAAAAAGCTGGGTCTAACCCCTCGCTGGCAGGCTGCTTGGCCTATGCCCTCATCTACTGCATGTCTGGTTACACCATCCCGCTAGGTTAGCTTTGATGATGTCACCAGTGCGGAAGTAAACAATGGAGAGCAACATGTAAAGAAACCAGGGTGTAGTCTGTGATTGTTTCGGTCTTTTATCTGTCTGAATCCCTCTTACCAGCGCTGTTCCATTTTCTGTGAATGTAAGCGGAGTTTTTTTGGCTTGTTAGATCAGACGCAACTTGTGAGGTGTGTTCATGGTTTCCGCAGGTCATTAAAAATCATTAAAAGTCATTAAATTATAATTTTTTTAAGGTCTTCCATTGGCATTGAAATTGTGGCATTTCAAATGCTTTATTTAAAAAGAAAAAAAAATGCTTATAAAAACTATTTCGTCAGATACATTATATCGCAATATATTTTCACGGAACCGGTTTCCGTTTATCGTAAAGCTGTTTGTTCTTAGAAGAAGCGTGAGGCGCAGACAAAACTAGAGACAACAAAGGTGGCTAGAAAACGAGGAATTTGACATGGCTGCAGCCTGTCGACGGTAAAGAGGATGAAAGATTTTGCCATGTTTACGTACATGAGAGTCATGGCTACTTGTTGATGGCATTAAAATTATTTCTAAGAGCATAAAAAAGCATTAAATAAGAGTTACTCATTCCTGTATAAACCCTGATGTTGATACCATACATTGTGTTCAATAATGTCACGTACTTTAACGGGTCAACCCGTGTATGGTGTTCCCACAGCATGCAGATCAGAGCCAAGGCGATTGTAACGCAGGTCGCTTGCCGAGTCGTTTAACCCAGTTAGACACAGGTCAGTGCTTTGTTCCCACTGCCACTAAAAGCCGGTTGTTCCCGGCTTTAAACAAGTTTTTTAGCCAGTCGGAAAGGGCTATATGAGTTTTTTTGCCAAATGCAGTGTGCATTTTCCTCTCAGCTTTGCATATGCTTTGTGTTAGTCTCATTTTTTGTGTTCATGATAATTCTTGAATACCGTAAGTTGTAAACTCACGTATTTGTACAGTATTTGCACCCCTCAGCCACTTTAGAAAACAAGAAGAATTGCAGGAGCTTACCTCGAGTCAAAGAACGTGCCGTCCTGGAATGTGCCATTGTAGTGGTAGCGGATATAGTCCCCAGTAACTGTCCTGCGTGTGCAGTTTTTAGGCTTCTCTATTACCTTTGAAGTCACATCATCTTTGGGATTAAATACATCAACTAACAGAACTTCGAATACGAGTGTTGCCTGGGGGGGGATCTTGGCTCCTAGGGATGGGGGAACATATACGGCTTGAGTTAGCATTAACAACTCACTGAGAATGAAAGGTAAATAATAAATGCAAGAACGTAACCATCTCATATTTGTACATTTACCATGGCCGGTCTCTCCATAAGCTAAAAATGGTGGAACAATAATGAGCCGCCTCTCCCCAATACACATGCCAAGAAGACCGTCGTCCATCCCTTTGATGAGGTCACCCTGCCCCAAGTATGTGTCATAAGTTGTATTTCTTGAGTAACTACAGAAGGAAAGAGAAAATCTGGTTAAATTTGTTGTTTCTTTTTTAACAAATACACATTTTATTTTGTTTTGTTCAACAGACAGAAGTGGTTGGTTCACCTGGAATCAAAGGCCTCCCCAGACAACAGTGTGCCATTATAGTGGTACCGGATAAAATCTGTCGCCACAGTGGTTCGCCTGCAGCTCTCCGGTTTGCTGATCGTGCGGATCTGGACCTTGTCTTCGGCGTTCCATATGTCCAGCAGGAGAATATCATATACCAGCGTGGCGTCAGGAGGGATCAAACCACCTGCGGGATCAGCAGCACACATAGGGTTAAACCACAACAGATAATCTAAAACATAAAACTAATAGTTCAGCGTAGTGGTGAGCCACACCTGTGCCGACGCTTCCATAGGCCAGGTGAGGAGGGACTGTGATCCTCCGGCGCTCGTTGACGCACATGCCCTGCAGACCTCGGTCCATCCCTGTGATGAGTTTACCGAGGCCCACCTGACTGACGAAGGCTTTGCCTCGGTCATAGCTGCAC